ACTGATAAGTGTTAAGATTCACTTTTTTTTTCAAGCTTTAATTTTACTGTGAAAATTCACATCATGACAAATGATAAAGTAATGAAATTTTCTTCTCTTGATTCAGTCAGTCTATCTTTTAAAAATATGTATATATGTATGTATGTATGTATGTGTTTACTTATTGTGTGTGTGTGTGCTTGCCCACACATGGAAGTCTGAGGACAACTTTCCACAGTCAGTCCTCTCCACCTTGTATTTGCTTTTGAAGAACTGGTTAATTTATTTTTATGTGTAAGTGTACACTTATAATCCCCTGAAACCGGAGTTACAGACACCAGTGAGTCATCAAGTGGGTGCTGGGAACTGAACCTAGGTCCTCTGCAAGAGCAGCCACTGTTCTTAAGCACTGAGTTATCTCTCCAGCCCCTACATTTTATTTACAGCTTTAGGAAGGGATAATTCTTCATTTAAAGAAAAAAAATCAGGTTGGGAATGTGTCTCAGGGTAGAACATTTGCCTAACATTCATGAAATCCCTAGCACTGTTTAAAAAAGTACTGCTAAAACTCTTAGCAAAGGGCATTCCAGATTTCAACCACAAAGCATAAAAAATAATCACCATTCATGAAAAGGTCAAAATAATAAATATTTTATACAGAAATACCTGCATCCCCCTCCAAATGATTTGCTTTTTTATTTTCCATAAATTCTCATAACATGTGTTAGAATAATTACAGTCTAGTCTTCATAATATGCCGTAATCAACATCGGTTGTTACTGCCACAGAGAAGAGATTTTAATCTTCTTTTTACTTTTTTGAGACAGGGTCTCACTATGTAGCCCTGGCTGGCCTGAAGCTCTCTATGTAGATCAGGCATGCCTCAAACTCAGAGACCTGCCTGCTTCTGTCTCCCAAGTGTTGTTTTAGGTTTACATCTGGTGAGATTTTAATCTTAAAACACTAGACGCACGGTAAGTGTAAATCTTAGTACCATTAAAAGCCAGGAGAGAAAGAGTTACCAATTCTAATAGTAGCTTTTCCTTTCCGACTGCTTCCTAGAATTATAGTTCTCCTTCTCTGTCTAGCAGTTTTAGACGCCTCCTTCACTGACGGGGATGTTATCCATTGGTACTGGAAAAGAAAAGGTGATTTCAGTCACAGGTCATTTATAAGAAGTCGACTTGAAATGGAAATTATTAAGGCATTCTACATTAATAAAAGGTTTGCAATTTTCAGTTCTCGGATCTCAAATTAAGAATCACACAGGATTTTAAACAGAAAAGCCCTGATTTGGAAGGTAGCTATGCGCACTACTATACCACCCACCAATGCCCTAAATGCCACCTGATTTAAATGAGAACTTAAGATGGCAGAAAAGTATCTTGACAATTTTACTGAAAGCAAAAGAAAAATAGTAAGAAAGGACATTCTTTCTGGAGGACAGAAACATACCTCTGACTCTGCACTCCTTCCATTCTGCAGAACTTTTTTGATAACTGCTTTCATCATAGAATGATCTAAAGGAGGAAGAAAACTGAAATTGTTGAAACTGTTTTCCAATGACTGACTTCTTATTTAAAAAGCAGAAACCACCTAACTGTTGCTTTTCCCATAAAATTAAACTATATACTTATTTCTACTTTTGAATTTGCATACTGTCCCCTAGTGGCCATTGCTTTAGTATCAGCACTTTGGGTCTGAAGTGGCTTTGGAAACCTCTGCATAGAAAAATCAAGAGGCTGGACACTGTCCCAACACTCATTACCTTAAAGCAACTACCACAGCCAAACCAAAGCTGTGATATGGCCTCAAAGCTGCTTCTCTCCCAGCCTCTTTTTCAGTAAATGGTGCAGCCATCTTTCTACTTAAAAAATGACAACTTCCCTCATAACAAGTTTCTAATCTACATGTAAGTCTTAGTTTTCTCCTGTTTTGACCTTTCATTCTCTGACCTTCCACCGTAAACTAAGCTACAGTCACTTCTGGCTTGGGCCGCTGTGCTAGCCTCCTCACTGGGTCATTTTTCTTCTCCCTGGCTATACTACAGGTCATTTGACTGTAATACTACTCAGATTATGCTCTTCCCATCTCAAATCCTCCCCCAGCTTTCAGCCCATGTTCTTATCCTGGCATTCAAGACCTTACACTATGAAGCCTCTGACTCCTGTTTGATCTCACAGCAGATCATGGTCTCCCTCATGCAGGGCCAAGTTTGCCTCCTTGTTTTTCCTTAAATACTCCATCTGTGCTGCCATCTTGCACCTATAGGCTCACTGCTTCCTTGTTCTGCAAGGTGCCTCCTCAGAACACCCAGGCACGTTCTTCTCTTCACTGGGTTTCTGCTTAACTGTCAATTTCTACTGAAGGGGTCCACTTTCTTATCTTAAGCTATCTTTTGTACTTCCTACTATCTAAAATTACAGTGCTTATCTATCTACTCATTTACATTTGAACTCCCCAATTACAATGCTGAGTTGCCAGAGAGCAAGACTTGGTCTATCTAGTTTGCTATTATATGCTTAATGATTAGACAGGTAAGTTTTCTAAAATCACTTCTCAAATTAGTAAATGATGAAATGCTCTTCCTGAGAATTCAGAGATTCCATGTGAAAAAAGAGAAATCATACTCTTGAAGGAATCAAGCTTATTGTCTGGGCTCACGTATATTCGGTGGCCACCAGAACAATTTAGAAGTAGAACTCATCAATACATCACCTGATAAAAAGTAAAGAATTACAAATTAGAAAAGCATAACAGAGCTGGGCAGGTGTCTATGAGATTGAGGCCAGCCTGGTCTACATTGTGAGTTCCAGGCAAGTTGGGGTTACAGGAAGACCCTGTCTCCAAAACAGAAAAAGAAAAGGAAAATCATAGAACAAAAATAAACACACTAAATTATTAAGTTTTAAAAACTGTCAATACATAAATTCAGTTTGTTAATAATTTTTTTTAAAAACAGTGATGACATACCAATAAGTGGATTTTTTCTTATATCCAGAATGACCAGAGTTCTGTTGGTTTCAAGGGCCTCTAGTAAAGCTTTGGCTCCTTCATTGGTGAGGCCACACTGTTGCAGGTCAAGTGCTTTTGATGAAAGACAACAGGTCACTGGCCGGCTCTACGCAGTTTAACATACAGACAATTCTCATTCATGCTTGAGACATTCCTGAACAAGACTAGTTATGGCAGTTTTAAAATCTTGGGCATTGAAAAAATAAAGGCAGAAAAGCATATGCAAACAGACAACAAAAAACTCTTCTAAGATGTTCTACAATTACCTCAGCCAACATATTTAAAACTAAAGCACTGAAAAGGAACCCGCACAACATGAGAAAAACTTCACAGGATGAACATCAGCTCAGGATTAGCAAGGATGCTAGTGAAGTACTGCATTGAATTCCTATGATCATAATCCTGAATTCCAAAGGAATCCCAGAAAGCTGTGCTTCAAAAAAGGGAAAACGGAAGTAACAGAAGAGCTGCTAATTTCACAATTAAAACAACAGTCTTAAGGGATAGAACCGACTAGCTCAAAGAATGTGTGAATAAAGACCATATTCTAAAAACCTACCAGAAAAGGACGGTGACAGCTCCACCCCTCCCGGGTATGTATCTTAAGGAATCTAAATCAGTAACAACGGAGATACCTGCACATTCTGTTCACTGACACAATCCTGATAGCCCAGTTACAAGTTCAGCCTAGTGCTCATCAACAGGTGAATGAGGTTAGAGAGATAGTTCAACGGTTAAGAGCACTGGCTGCTCTTGAAGAAGACTGGGCTTCAGGTCCCAGCACCCACATCGGGCGGGTAACAACCACCTGTAACTCCAGTTCCAGGGGATCTGATGGTCTCTTCTGACCTCCATGGGCACTGCACAATATACATGCAGGTAAAACACACATACACGTAAAATAAAAATTTAGAAAAAAACAGGTGAATGAATACGTAAATAAAATATAAGATCATCATGCTAAGCAAAATAGGCCAAACTCAAAAAGACACATAGCACATTTTCTCTCATTTACAGAATCTGATTTCTTAAAGGTATGGAAGTAGACGGGGAAATATCTAAGAGGACCAGAGGCAAGACAGGATAAAGGAATATGTAGAAATATACCCACAGAACGTTATAGACATATATGAAAATATAACAAAACCAAGTATTTTGAAATAAGAAACTGGCGATCAAAGTTTCTCTCACTAAAAGGTTAAAAAAATCTGTAATCTCAACATTCAGGAGGTAGAGGCAATAGGACCAGGACTTCAAGATCATCCCTGCTTCCATAGTGAGGTTAAGGCCAACTTGAACTACATTAGGTCTTATCTCAAAAAAACTCAAAATAAATAAACAAATAAAATAAACCCAATGTGACTATTTTTTAAAACGTACAAGTATAAGAAAGTATCAGAACACCTTTTTCAAAAGCGTTGTGTCTATCATTACATTAAAATAAGTATAGCTGGGCCTGGTATGGTGGCACACACCTTTAACCCCAACAGGAGGTAGAAGCAGGTGTATCTCTGTGAGTTTGAGGGCAGCCTGGTCTATATAGAGAGCTCTGGGACAGCTAGGGCTACCTGGAGACCCTATCTCAAGACAAAATAAAGCAAACAAAAAACCAAAAGTCATTCAAAATTCCACATTATTAGAATACATGGGTGTCAACTCATAATTCATATTGAAATCCTAGACCTTAACAGCATGGTGAAGAAGTGAGGTCTTTGGAAGATACTCAGGTTTAAATTAGGTCTTGAGAATGGGAATTCCCACGATGGGATTCACATTGAAGAAAAACAAAAAAACAAAAAAACCAGCACTCATGCATATACTGTCATTGAGAAAAAACAAGAAACCTTGCTACATTACCAAGTGACTAGGCAAAATAGGCCCACAGGTGCAATTATTGGCGTAACCAACCACTTTGGATTTGAGACCTGCTCTGCAAGGGGGAATTCATATCTGGTACTGTAAACCTGGTCCAAAGACCATGGCTAGGGAAGTCATAGGCCCTAATGGAGAAGCTGTTACTATTGTTTTGATAAATGGACATGGTATGCCTGTCATTTGCTTCCTAAATAATTATGTTTATTCCCCTAGATTATTGCTGCTGTCAGCACCAGTCAGAAAAACTTTTTCTAATGAGCAGCAGTAACTGCAGGGTCCAAATGTTGAGGATAAGTGACTACTGAATGTTCATCTATAAATGGGACACATATATTACCCCCTAAAAAGGCTCAGAGATCATGGAAGAGAGGGCAGAAAGACTGTACAATTAGAGGAAAGGGTGGAGTCTTGTGAAACACTACCAGGCATGACACGGTTGTAGTACTCTTGAACTCACAGCCAGGATTACCTGTGTAAGAGTAGGCCTGTCAACACCCTATCATGGAAGAGATGGAGGAGAGAGGGAGGCCCTACCTCTCCCTAAAGTTTTATAAGTAGCTAATGGATGCTGAGGGAGGAAGAGATTTTTTTCTTCACTGGTACAGCCTATGCTAAAGTACCCATCCTATAAATAACCTCCTACCCATGATCCTGCAAACAACTCTAATGGAACTCACTGGCTCACAAAACAAACAAACAAAATAACAGAAAGATGGGAGGACTAGTTTAGAAGAGGAAGGAGAGCAGCTGGAGTGAGAAGGGAATAAGAGAGGATAGCAAGTGAATAGAACAAAATACATGATACACATGTACGTCATTAAAAACAGTATACACAATTAACATATGCTAATAAAAACATTTTTAAAATTTATTTTATTTAATGTGTATGAGTGTATTTGCCTGCATGCACCCATGCCATGTAATGCCTAAGGAGGTCAAAAGAGGGCATAGGAGCTGGGAATTGAACCCCGGTCCCCTTTGGGAGCAGTCAGCACTCTTAACCGCTGAGTCACCTCTCCAGGCCCAAAAAAACATCTTTTAAAAAAGTGTATTAACAAGAAGAAAACCAATCAAACAAACACAACAATATAAAACCAAAACAGCCTTGCACAAACCTGGAAGATCAAGCACCAGACACTCACATGCCAGTACCTAGAGCCTGGACTCCTTAGTCTCCAGAAACATGAGAAATAAACTTCTGTTGTTTAAGCCACCCAGCACTGTGTGATAGTCCAAACTAAGACACCTATGACACAGAAGATATAACCAACTACACAAACTAGTACTAGCCAGTAAATTTCATTAGTAAGTCAAATGAAGACAAACTATAGCAAGGAAGGGTTGTCCAGATGGTTCAACAAGCACAGACACTTGCTGCCAAGCTGACCATCTGACTTGGAACCCGTATGGTGGAAGGAGAGAACCAAATTCTTCAAGTTGTCCTCTTACCTCCACATGTATGCATACCCAATACAAAGTAGATAGTGTTTAAAAAAAAAAAAACTTAAAAATAGCAGTTGGGTGTGGTAGCATGCAGATCTCTGAGTACAGGCCACTCAGGGCTACATAGGCCTTGTCTTTAAAAAAAGGAGAAAAAAGGCAATGTGTATATTTTCAAAATTGTGGAGCTAGGCGTGGTGGCTCACACCTTAGTCCCAGCACAAGGGAAATAGAGGCAGATGATCTCTGTGAGTTTCAGGCCAGCATGGTTTACACAGGGAGTTTCCTGGGACTACAAAGTGAGACCCTGTTTCAAAATTAAAAAAATAAACAACAAGGCAGGTGTGGTGGCACATACCTTTAATCCGAGCACTCTGGAGTGCAGACTGGCCTGCATAGCAAGCTCCAGGCCAGGTGGCACTGCAGGAAAATCCTGTCTCGACCTCCTCCCTCCTCCAAAAAAACAAAAACAAAAAACAAACAAAAATTTGTGCAGAGGTGGCTCAGCAGTTATGAGTACTTGCTGCTCTTGAAGAAAACCTGGATTCTGTTCCTACCACCTGCATCCAGCAGCTCATAACTGCCTGTAACTCCAGTTCCAGGGGACCTGACACCCTCTTTTGGCCTCCATGGTACCTACACACAGACACAGACACACACACACACACAGACACACACAGACACACACACACAAACACGGTGTGTACATGTACACTCAGGCCCATACACATTTAAGAAAAAGCAAGTTTTTTTAGCTAATGACAGCACTAAGCAAGCCCAGTAAAACTGAGCTCAATAAAATGAAGTAGTCTATCACATATCACTGAACAAAAATAGTACGGTTGGCCTGATCTACACAGTAAGATCCTGTCTCAGAAAAAAAAAAAAAGTAGAGTTATAAAACAGTAAGTTTTTTTATAACTATTCCTATAGTCTCTAAGTATACAAACATATGTCTTTTTTAAGGGCTGAAAACACTGTGCCATAATGAACAGTGGTTATCACTAGGTGTTTTGATTATAGATAATACTGTTTTCTATGAAGAATATATGTGGCTTTTATGAAAGATTAAAAGTACAATAAAAGTTATTAGAAAGAGAGGCACTTAAAACTTTTTATGACAAACATTACAGTTCCCCAAACTAAGCATATTTGACATCCAACAATTTTCCATTCCTAAGAGTCTTTTAACTCACCTCTAAGCCATAAATCCTCATTAAGAGAGTCTGCAAAGGCACATGCACCCAGGTCACCAATGAGCGTGTTGCAATTCAGTGTGATGCGCCTTAAACCAGCCATGCAGTCAAGATCAGGTCTCCTATAGCGAAGACTCTCAGCCCAGGTTTCTTCATGTCTTCTCATGGTTTGATACTTCAAAGATTGAACACACAGAATTTAGATGTTTGAGTAAGGAAATGGGAAGCCGAAAGAGAAACTAGGTATGGCTGATTATTTATACACAGCCACACACGCCCTAAGTACAAATATACTGGGGACTCAGTGCGCCTTGAGAAGATTTTGGTGCAGGGGTCCAGCAATCCATATCTGAGTTTGCAACTGAATAGTTAGTTGTGAGAATAGTCATGGGTGACTGCTAATGATTAGTGATATAAACTGACAATTCTGAGAACTTTTAAGTCCTTTATTGCCATGTTAAAGACTGGTTCTGCATTCTATCAGTCTGCCCTCTAGAGGTCTCCAACATGGCTAAGCATAAACAGTCTTGCTTTCACTTTTTTAAGCCAACATTCTCTTAACATGTATCATGTTTTCAAAATTTTTTTAAACTTATTTTTATTTTATGTGTATGAGTGTTATGCCTGCATGTATATAAGTGCATGCATGTCAAGCAGTGCCTGCAGAGGCCAGAACAGGGCATCAGACTCCCTGGAACTAGAGTTATGGACAATTATTAACCATCATGTGGGTGCTAGGAACAGAACACAGGTCCTCCCAAGATCAGCCAGTGCTTTACTACTTAGTCATTTTTCTAGTCCCATGTATCATTGTTTTTAAATAAGTTATATAAAGTTCTGTACAAATACTTTTAATTGAATTTTTGGAAATATCATACAATATATTTTTTATCATATTTAGATTCCCCCTAGTATTTGTACCCTCCTTTCTAATCCTCCATCAAATTTCTGTACTCTAATATATATACATACATATGCATGCTTAAGAGTCAGATTTGTGTCCCCAAATGTCCTTCGGTGTGGTCAACCTAAGTGCCTCACCCTTAAATACAACTGACACTCCCCTTCCCAGCAGTCACTGGTTGCCAGTAGTCCTCAGGTAGGGTTGGAGTTTCTTGCCCATGTCCCCGAATCTATGCGAGAATTCTGTACAAATATTTTATGTACGCTACAAACTACACAGAAACAACAGCTTCTTTTCTGATGTGATGTTGGAGCTTGAATCCAGAGCCTTGTACATTCTAGGCAAAGTGCTCTATTACTGAACAGTTCCAGGCCAACAGACACATCTTTCAGATAACACAAAGGTAAACAGAGAGGCTCTACTATTTTCTTTTAACCCAATGGATCGCACATACTTTTTAGGACACAAATACCACCTTTAGAGTGTAAGAATAAGCAGGGTCAGTCTGGCATGCCTTAAGAAAATGATTGCTTGATTTTTAACCATAGGTATAATCAGCAAGACTATAATCAGCTCTCTACATTCCTGAGGTAAATTCTGCCAACAGGAACACTGATTTAAGAGCAAAATCTTTCCTTCTTGAGCAACAAAATACTCAAAGCACCTGTGACATGACACTAAAAGGAAAAATGTTAATGTTATTTTTCTATTAAGAATAACTATATAGGGCTGGAGAGATGGCAGAGCAGTTAAGAGCACTGGCTGCTCTTGCAGAGGACCTAGGTTCAGTTCCCAGTACCCACATGGTGGCTAACAATGTCTATAACTCCAGTTCCAGGAAATCTGACGCCCTCTTCTGGCCATCACAAGCATTTCATACACATGGTACACATACATACATGCAGGCAAAACACTAATACAAATAATTGGAGAAGTAAGGTGGGGATGGAGGGGGACTGAATATGATCAAAATACATTGTATGAAATTCTCAAATTAATAAAAATATTTTAAAAAATAAATAACTGTAGAAAGCAGCAAGAAGAAACAGCAACAAACTCTTACATAGCACTTATTATCTCCATGCACTATCTTAAGAAAGTTAGCACACAATCCACAGAATGAACAATGACTTTACAAGGACAGATAAACTGATTTGTCCATAGTCACAAAATATTAAGTGGGTGAGGATTTTAACTTAGGCCATTGGCTTTAGAAGCCACTCTTAGCCAGGCTTATAATACAGGGCTGTAATCCCAACTACTCAGTAGGTGGAGGCAAGATTATCACAAGATGAAGGTCTAGTTGAGCCACAGAATGAGTTCAAGGCCGGCATAGGCAACTTAACAAGATTTGTTCCAAAATAAAGTCAAAAAGAGCTGACGATGCAGCCCAGTGGTAGAGCACTTGCCTAGCATGTGCAAGGCCTTGGGTTAATGCCCAGTACAAAAACCACCCCACAAAACCAAACACAAAAGAAAAACGAACCCCTATAGAGGAAAGCAGATCCACACTCTTGACCACAATTTACCACAGGGTCAGAGGACTCACTCTGTAAAGGCCCAAAGAAACATTTTCATCTCCATGGGTCAGGTTCTTTAGCCAAGTATTCAACACTACTTACGGAAGGCAAAAGTACTCATAGCTACTGTACGAACAACTATGCATGTTTGTGTTCTCAAACACCTTTATTTATAAAAGTAGGTAAAGGGTTAGATTTGGTCCATGGGCATTAGTTCTATCCTTGATCTGTACCATCAAACTATAAAAAAAGAGCTGGGTGAGGCGGCATATACCTCTAACCCTAGCCCTCGGGAAGCTGAAGGAAGGAGGACTAAAACAAGCTCTAAGCCAGCACCAGGTGCAGTGAACTCAAAGATAGCCTGGGTTACAGATGATTGTGTCAAACCCCATCGCCAAAAGCAAGCAAGCAAACGAACACTACCACCGACAAAAACCCAAAACAAAAAAACCCGACAAGGCTTCCTATCAAAATGCTAAGTAATTTTAGTCCCAATACAGTAGTTATTAACAATTATGAAGAATTTATACAATGATTTTCATTAGTTTATAAATTACAGCAGTTAGCATATGAGTGATGTAAGAGGGTGGAGGTTATAACAGTAGTTTCTTTCAGTGATGCAACCATTTTCAACAACTAAAATGAGACAAAAGTATTCATAAAATACTATACTTTAAATTTCTTATTTCTAAAATTAAATGCATCTCATTAAACAGCAGAATTCTAAGCTAAAGAGCAGTACATCCTACAATGAAACTAAAACTGCAATTACCATCAAATCAAGACAAAAATGACTGTCATCACAACAAAGTATTGATGTGTTTCAATCACACAATCCACTTTCAGAAATTCTGAACATAAAGTCACCTTTAAGATCTTGACCAAATGATTGGCTCCTTGCCAAGTCAGATTACATCCTGTGAAGTTGACTGTCTTAAGAGTGACAGAGTTCTTTATACCTTGACAAATAACTAAAAAAACAAAAAACAACAAAAAAAGAAACACAGTAAGACTAGTCAATATGGTCAATCTTGATTTATTCAATTTCTTGCATCTATGCTAGTTTAGAGCTGCATTCCTAAAATCAGTCCCTACAATCTTCCTAAGCAAGTGTTGGACAGGTTGCAAAATGTGCCAGTAACAAAGCATTATTCTAGATTACAGCTAAAATTAAGCACTTTCAATGTTGTAAATTTATTCCCAACTGCACAGTAAAATACTGTATTATATATGTATATGTGTACATGTATATGAATATATATATTTTTAAGACATATGAAAGAAAAACCTAAAAGGCATGATTTTTATTTTCATTACTAACAACACACCTTTATTTTGATTACCAGTCAACAATTTTTCAGCTATAAACTCAGAATTTTCTTAGATGTCATATGCGCACCTAATATATAAAGCAATACAGATAAAGGACAACAAGCTTTGTCCTCTCAAATTGAAACGCAGACTTCCTTACTCCTCTAGGTCAAGATTCCCCACAATGAACACAAATTCTTTAGGACCTCAATCAGCAGCTACCCTGTGATTACTTCCAAAGCCCTCCCCAGTGAGTTTCTGCTTTCACAGTGCGCTCTGCACATATTATCCCATTTCTGTTTATACCACAGTTAAGAATAATGGTGACTTATTTTTTCTCTTTACATCTTGCTATTGCCCACCCCACAAAGACTTTTTTTTTTTTTTTTTTTTTTTTTTTTTTTAAAAAAAAAAAAAAAAAAAAAAAGGAGGTAGGCTCTCTCTGAAATCCCAGCTGGCCTGGAACTCACTATGTAGACCAAGCTGGCCTTGATCTCAGAGAAATCCACCTGCCTCTCCTGATGGGATTAAAGGCATGCACCACCACACCTGGCCCCACAAATACTTCTTAAAAGAAAACCAGAAAGTATGAGTAAAGAGGGGAAAAAAAACTACAAACCCCACAATATTAAATACTCTAAGTGTTTTGTGGCTTAACACAACCTTATGTTCAGAGAGTATTAAGCAGGACAACTTTCAAAGCAGAAGTGAGGATGAACCAACATTTGAAGAGGTGTAGGAGGCAGCCCAGAAAGAAGCAACAGCCCCAAAAGATAAACAGAGATTAACACTGCATGTGGGCAAACACAAGACCAGTCTGACAGACAAGAGGTAATGATTTAAACTCACTTTCTAAACCTCCATCTCCAATTGGACAATTTGCAAGAGACAGGTGCACCAAAGAGGCCGATTTATTCAATCCCTTAATAGAGGAAGAAAGTTAAAAATAGATTGACTGTTTTCCCACCAAAATCAGCTCTCAGATGTCTCCAGGTCATACTGAAGGCTTACCTTTGTTAAAACAGTCAAATCTCTCTCTCTCAGAATTAGTCCATTTAGCTCCAGATTTCTTAGCACACTTGATGCACTTAAACAGCCTTTAAGAGCTTTACATAACTGAAAGGTCACATCTTTGGATCTTACTGGAGGAACACGATTTCTACAAACTCTGTTTGTATCAGAACCTAAAACAAATTTATTGCAAAATCAGTGATTTCAACCATACAGTTTTGCCATTAGGCTCCTCAGTGCTGAGGCACAGAAATGAGCCATATCCTTAAAGAGTAACACATGATGTGGTGATGCACGCCTTTAATTTCAGCACTTGGGAGGCAGAGGCAGGCAGATCTTTGTGAGTTCAAGGCCAGTCTGGTCTACATAGTGAGTTCAGGTCAACTGGGACTACAGGGAGATCCTGTCTCAAAAAGACCAAAAAAAAAAAAAAAGTCACACAGAACTCAGTCACATGAGATACAGAAAAACAAACTATATATGGCTTCTTTTACTGTATTTTTATGTGTATGAGTGTTTTGCTTACATATATGTTAAATGCACCCATGCTGTGTTATGCCCGAGGAGGCCAGAAGAGACTGGACTCACAGTTGGCTGGTAACCACCATGTGGGTGCTGGAAACCAAACCTGCACCCTCTGAAAGACCAGGAAGTGCTCTTAAACACTAAGCCATGTCACTACACAGGGTTTCCTATGGAGGTGAACAGTTGCACCTAAGGGATGGCTTCAAGAAACCGTCAAGTTGCACATGGAGACTGGGGTTGGCGTGAGAGTGCAATATGCAAAGGAATCCCAGCATGACACGGCTGGAGGGTGTGAATATTGCAGGTGCTATGGCTGTACCCTTCAGGGGTAGAGGAGGGAGAGAAATTCAGAGAAGGTTAAAGCAAGCCTGCAAGAGAGTTGGCTTTTATGACAAATGATGAGGACCAAGGCTACCACTGGAGGGAGGGGGGTGGTTTGCAATCTGTGTGAATCAGGTGCCTATCTCTGATCATTCCCTTTATCTGACTGGTCCTCCAACAGTGGGGCACATCTTTCTAGCCATCCTTACCACACACCAGTGGTAGCTTTGGTCCTCATCATTTGTCATAAAAGCCAACTGTCTTGCAGGCTTGCTTTAGCACCTACAATATGCACACTTCTTCAGTGCCTTTCTGAAGGAGGTACAAGCTGTACAGCCAATGCGCACTGCTTCTGTGTAAAGTCAATGTGAGCACTGGGCATCGTGGTGCACACCTTGATCCCAGCACTTGGGAGGCAGACAGGTGGATCTCTGTGAGTTCAAGGACAACCTGGTCTACATAGTGAGTTCCAGGCCAGCTGGGGCTACAGAGAGACCCTGTCTCAAAAGATTAAAGAAAAAAAAAAAGTCATTGTGAGCATCAGCATTAGCAAGCTCACCTGAACTGAGAGAAGCCAAGTTCAGGAATAACACAACCAGCTAGGACCTTCTTCAATACTGCAGGCCAAACAGTTAAACAAATGGTGTCTAGAAAACTAAAATCTACAGCCTAGACCCACTGGACACAAGAGATGGAGAAGATGCATGCAGCAATCTGAAGAGAAATGGTCCACAGACATTTTTCTTACAATCAGTATAAACTATCAGGCAAGTTCAGACAGGCCTGCCTTGATTCTAAGGCACCTCACACCTTTCTTTTAATTTTGTCATTACTGTGGTAGTTGGGTGATTGGTCAGAGGCACACAATACATTCAACTCTGGAATGAGATGCAGAGAAGCAGCAGGGAATGTGATGAACTGTCTTTGCAGAAGAGATCACAGATGGTGCTTCTCTCAGACTGAGAGAGGACCAGGCCCAAGACCAGCGGTCAGGTTTTCAGATAACAATCACTTTCTCCCCTAGATCACTGCACCTCAGTTGGTTACTTTCAGACACTTTACACACATAACCAGCTTTAATCCTAAGAATCCACTTTTCACATGTAAGAACAGTAGTTCAAAAAGTAACTTGCCCAAGACCTCTGAAATTCAAACCCTAGGTTGCCTCTAACACCCATGTGATTTCCTTACATGAGACTACTCTCAAAATAAAAAAAATTTAAAAAAATAAAATTAGGGGCTAGGATGATGGCTCGGTAGATAAAAGTGTTTGCTGGGCAACTATGAGGAGTTTGAATCCATAGCACTGTAAATGCCTATACCCCTGGAGCTGGGGAATGGCAACAGGTGATCCCTAGGGGCAAACCGGCTAGGCTACGGAATCACCAAGCTCTGTGTTTGGAAATGGACCTTGCCTCAGTGAAAAAACAAGGAAGCAAATGAGGCAGACACCCAGGGTCAGCCTGTAGCCTCTGTGAATATGACAACACACTGCACTCACACATGCAAACACTTGTATGCACACATGACACACACAAAATCCTAAGCAAAAATCTATAAATAAAAAAGGTATGAATAATCAGTTACTTGCTGGAAAGAGGACTCAGCACTTAAGGGCACCTACTGAGCAATCAAGAAGACCGGTGCTTGGATCTTAGCATTCACATACAAAGCTGGGCCTCAGGGACAGGACTTGGAACCCTGGCAGGGGAAGGGAGGCAGGAAGGCTGATGGGCTTGTTGGCTTCTAACCGAGCTGAGAAAACAGAGCCCCAGGTTTAAGAGAGACCCTGATTGAAAGAACAGGCTTGGAGAGTGAGAGGACACCCAAAACCCTCTCCGGCCTCTGTGTGTGTGACCTACAGAAAAACATACACACAAATACATTTTGTTGTTTTGAGACAGGGTCTCCCAGCTGGCCTGGAACTCGCTATGTAGACCAGGCTGACCTCTATCTCACATAGATCCATCTACTTCTGCCTGGGATTAAAGGCATGTACCACCACACTCCACAAATACATCTTTTTAAAAAAATGCAATCAGTAAAGAACATACACATTGGATGATCAATTTCTTTGCTGCCCTGCAAATGTTCGTGTATGACCATTGAAGCACCAAAAAAATGACTTGGGGTTATAAACATATTTAAGTAGGAGAATTTATAAATACATAATCTTTGAATAATCAGAATTAATTATTTATACCAAGATATTTTTCGTTTCATTATGTATTTTTCCTTTACTTTTAACTCCCCCCTTTTTCTGTATTAATCTTGCAACAAAACATGAGGAGAGAGTCTAAACTCAATACTCAAAAAAAAAAAAAAGGTAAGGGGAAAGCATTCTGAACATAACCCACAGGGCGCAGCGTTGGTCATGTTCCACATCTTGACCACTCCCCCAACCAAGGGCCAAAGGAGTCAAAACGCACGCGAGCTAGTCTCCAAGGGAGATATCAAATATTCCTTTGGGAACAGTTTAGGCCGCAGACTTACATTTTCCTCATTTATCTCTAACGAAACCTGTTTTATGTTCATTTGACTGTTAAGAATAAGATGTGTCTTTCAGTTCAACTGATATTCCTGATTAGAAAATGCGATAATGCTAGGAGTAACACCACTTTGTCATGTCATAAATTGCCAGATTTTCAAATAACCAGAGAGTTTGGATCCCTATTTACAATATTATAATTGCTACCCTACACATTCTTAATGGTTTTAAAAGTGCAGAAAAAGGTCGGGACATATCATTTCCTAATCGCTTACTTCTCTATCAGGAACATAAAAAGGCATGAAGTGAAACAGGTAACACTGCTGTTTATCCGCGTCCTAGGCTGTAGCGTTCTGCAAGCATCACTCGGCGGGAACCCTTCCCGGCCCCGCCTCGCCCCGCCCGGCCACTACGGACCTGTGTCCCCGAGCCACGGCTGGAAGGAGCTCTTGATGGCCACCAGCGGCAGGTCCCGGTTCACCTTGAGCGTGCTGAGCAGCGGCGCCCAGTCCACCACGCGCAGCCGGTCGGCGTTCAAGTCCAGCACGCCGTCCCGCAGGCAGGCGCGCACGGCGGGCAGCGGCACCGAGTCCTGCAGCGCGCACAGGTACTCGTAGTGCGAGAAGAAGTCGGCCGCGCACTCGCGGCGCAGCTTCACCGAGTCGATCATCGCAGGCACCCGGCCCGGGCTCCTCCCGGAGCAGCAGCTCGGCGACCGGGTGCAGCCGCCGCCCGCCAGGCCCTCCCCGCCGCGCCCGCGCAGCCTCCAGCCGCGCCGTTAGAGCCCGCCTCGGCCCGCGCTGCAGCCGGCGTTCAAGAGCCGGCGCGACCGGCCCGCGCACATCGCGTCACGCGCTCGCAGCGCGTCACGGCCTGGCCACGCCCTCCAGGGGCGGGGCTGACGGCAGGCCACTGAGGGTGGGTGTGGCCTGTGCAGGGACGGTCTACGGAGGAACGTCCTAAATCCATATGCAAGTCAAGAGGCTTCAGTTTTGTTTTCCTCTCTGCCTGCGGATGCAGCTGGAATTCAGTCATTGTTTTCAATGGGTATTGGTTTTCAGTGTTAGTTCTATAAATGTTCTTGAGGATGACTCCTGTATCACAGAGAGCAGATTATTTAGTAATGTTAGTAGAGTAATTTATGTACAGAAAAACTAGCTATTGAAAATGAATTTAAGGCTGGGCGTGGTGACGCACGCATGTAACGCACTTGGCAGGCAGAGGCAGGTTGGTCTTGAGTTCGAGGCCAGCCTGGTCTACATAGCGAGTTCCAGATGGGGCTGCAGGAGACCTTGCCTCAAAAAAGACAAAAAAGAAAAGTAAAGAAAATGAATTTAGGGACTGACACGGTGACACACGCCTTTAATCCCAGCATCTTGGACACAGAGGCAGGCAGATCTCTGAGTCTGAGGCCATCCTGGTGTACATAGTGAAGAGGGTATCAGATTCTCTGGAGCTGGAAGTACTGACAGTTGTAAGCTGCCCAACGTGGGTGCTGGGCACTGAACTTGGATCCTCTTACTAACCTTCAGTGTGGCAAGATTTCTTTTGAAACTTACTTGGCATGTCTCTTGTCTCTTCCAGTTAAAGTATGGCTTAATAGTGATGTCACTTCTTTCAGTCTCTGGTGCCCCCACCCCAAGGTTCCCTGTTCTCTGAGTGAAAACTGCTTCTCTACAGTATCTCTGGGACCCTCTGACCAGCCAGACTCACACCTGACCCAAGACAAAATGCCCTGGCTGCCCTAAATGTGCTCATGACTTAAGAGTGCTACGCTACCCGGTATTGGAGCTAAGCTCCCTCTTCCGGCATGCGATGAATGAATGTTACCTAAAACACAGTTAAGTCACATCATCTTGCCTCTACTCACTTTACTCTGTGCCCAGTCAATCCTGACACCATTGTTCCTGACTTCCTAGGCAACTTACCTTTCTGTTGAACCACAATGCTAATGTTGTCTGCTTAGCGCTGACACTGATCCCCTTGGTACTTGCATTGAGTTTTGTTAGTAGAGCAAGTTTTGTTGCATTCAGTCACAAAGGGTGTCAGTCTGGCTAACAACATAGGGTCTTTCGAAAGCCTTATTCTAACTGACATATGGTCACATTTCTTTCTTCTGCCCCCTTCCTTGGCTATTCACAGTGGTCACTCTAAACCTCCACTCCACATTGCCACCTGGACTCTATTCTGTGTCTCCACTTTCTCTTCTCAAGAGGATGCTTTTTACTTTGACAGGGCACTAACTCTTGTCTTCTTTTCTCTCACTCTAGGTACTGTGCAATCCGTGTTCCATAATGTAGCCAACTGCCACCTCCTCTTCTAATCCTCTGTGAGTTCCCATTGTTCGTAGAATAATGACAAAACTCACCGTCTTCACTTCCCAAGGAGATTAAGTTCTACACTGATGGGAAGTGAAGCTGGAGGCAGTTGCTCACACTGAATCCATGGTCAGAAAGTAAAAAGTGATGAATGCCTCAGGGCCCGCCCCTTCACAATAGCTGTGCACCCCTTTAGAATGTCAACATTTGTTGACATCAATGTTGACAATCTTATTGCCCCAAATGATATCTATCCTTATAGTAGATGTGGCAGGGTAGTGGGTATTGTGGGGGCAACCTGCTTATACTCTTAAGATTGACATCTAAGAATGTTTAGAACCAACTTTAATGGGCTTTAAAAAAAAAATATCATAGGCCCAATTGTGTCTACATCTCTGTTCTCTTCCAAGTCTATCATAATACACTTTCTAATGATCATGCTTATGCTTCTTCCTCCGGAAATCCAAAATATGTTTCCCTTTGTGCTGGTGAACTTGGAAACTGCCACGAGGTAACTATGTCTTACCTCTTTCTCTGGAATCTGAATTCTCCAAGGCTCTGTTCTCCGCAGTCTCCCCCATCCCCCATGCAGCGTGATATTGTACATATTGTCAACCTGATCAGTAAGTATCTGGTAAACAATAAGTGAATTAATGAGTCTCCATGAGAATATGTTGTCTGTTTCTTTTTTCCAGTTTTAAGTTTCTGTAGTTAGGCCTATGTTTAAACAGTATGCTGCATCATAGCAGCACAATATCTAAGCTCATAAAGAATTACAATAGCTGCTAAGAGCACCTCCCTCCACAGCTTGTTCTCCATCTCAAGTGGAGAGAGCAAGATGTAATGTTTACTAAATGCCTTGATCCTTTGGCATTTTGAAGCACTGGGTGTGCTGGGTCTGTGCCCTCACGGAAATGTCCATACTGAGCACCATTTTTCCCTTGGGAATAACTGCCATCCACAATGATGTGCCATTATAGTTTTCATCCTTTTAGATTCACAAGAATAAATTTTAACCACATGCAAGGAGAATATGAATGAACAGAACTTTTAATTATATTCAGTGAAAGTTTACGAATGTTATATTGTATACTATCAAATTATTTGGAGAAATTTTATTCATATGACATGTGCTTTGGAAGTACCAAAAGTTCATGTTATTCTCAAGATTTCTAAGTTGTTTTTAGAATAGGCATAATGGCAGCCACCCACAGGGATTTGGAGTACTGTTAAGTCAGCTTTCGTTGTAATAATGCTATGATACAAACCACCCAAAAGGTTCAGTGACATAAACAGCAAGAACTTGTTTTTTCTGATCCTAAAAGTCAGCTAGAGTAAATATTTTGGATCTCTGGCTGGCTGTGTCTTCCTCCATGCTTTGGGTCAGTTTGAGGGCGGTTTCATGCATCTCACTCTGGGGACAACTCTGGGGCAGGCATCAGTTGCCAGGGCATGTTCATGAAACATAGGGGGTGAGCTCTTTTGTTGATGGTTACTGAAGCACAAAGGGTGAACAAAATCAAGCCTATAAAAGCCTCTGTTGGTATTATGTCTGCTCAAACTCCAGTAGCCAAAATGCACCATATATTGTATTAGTTACTTTCCTCACTGCTGTGGCAAAATACCTGACCAAAGAAACTTAAGGAAGAAAAGATTTGTTTTGACTCACGGTTCAATGGTAGAGTTCAGCATGACAGGAAATGATGGTGACAAGAATCTGAAACAGCTGATCAGACTGCACCCATAGCAGGAACAGAGACTGACGGGTGCTAGTACTCAGCCTGCACCCATAGCAGGAACAGAAACTGACGGGTGCTAGTACTCAGCCACTTGTCTACATTTTATTCATTCCAGGACCTAGGCCACGGGATGGTGCTGCCTACAGTTAAGATGAATCTTCTGGAGCTGGAGAGACGGCTCAGCGGTTAAGCACACTGACTGCTCTTGCAGAGGACCTGGGTTCCATTCCCAGCACTACATGGTGACGAACAACTGCCTGTAACTCCAGTTTCAGGGGATTCAATGCCCTCTTCTGACCTCTGTGGGGACTGCATGACACAGATACACTTACACAGATACAGGCAATACATTCATACACATTAAAAAAAAAAAAAAAAAAAAAAAAAAAAGATGGCTCTTCCTACCTCAGTTAACCTAATGTAGATAATGCCCAGGAACTGACATCATCTAGATAATACCCCATAGGCATACACAGAGGCTTTTTTCCTAGGTGAGTCTAGATTCTGCCAAGTTGCCAGTGTCAACTATCACACTATGTTAAATTTACAATATGTACAGTTACTTAATGTTGGGTGAACTCAGAGAAGAGTATTACATCTTGGATAATGTTAACATGGTTTCGGGCATTTGCAAATGTGATAACCCTTGTAAAACATTTTGAGAACTTTTTGAACTTGTGAAACAATTTATATGGAAAGGAAGAAGGTCCAAATTCATGATACAGCAATTACTGTTACAGTGTTGGGAGAAGGCCTCTGATGACAATGTCAGTTCAGATTAAGACTCGGAGATTCTGACTGTCTCCCTTAACAATGTCATTCTATGGGACATTCCTGAAGAACTGTGATAATATTGAATGACCAAACTATCTCCGTTTTGCTCCAGCTGACTTTTGCTTTACCTGGTGTTTTTGCCCAGCCGGTCCCACTGCAGCCAAACAGACAGAACATCTCACGCAGGCAGTTTCAGGGAGTGCATCGTTTCCACAGTACTGGGAAACTTACAAGTAGCTGGTAGTATGTCTTCCCTCCCAGCCTAACCGAAACTTTTTGTTAATTAAAACCCTTTGTTAACTGACCCACCCCTGGTCTGGTGTAACTATGATGATCTGATGTAACTATGGGTATTGGCTTTGCCCCTGGCATGATGTAATTCTGGTTTTAAGTTTTATAAACAAACCCCTCCCTGCTTCTCCTCAGGGTCCAGAGTTCTTTGAGGCATTGGACCCCCTCTGACTGCCAGCTATTAATAAAGGACTCCTAATTCGACCATCACTACGTGGCATTCCTCTGTGCATCTCACTAGGTATTACGGTTGTTTTATGTACTATCTATCAAAAATATTATCATTTTCCAAAGCCAGTTAGGGAAAATTTTCTTAATGCAGACATCATATTTTAATATTTCCCTCCAATCAGCACCTTAACCATTACTATTGCACTAGGACAGAGTGATGTAAATAGAGACTAAATAAAGTCACTGCTAGCAGACCTGCTTCACAAGAAATGCTGAAGGAAGTTCCTTAAATGATAGCAGACAGTGACTCAAATCCACAAAAACTACAATGAACACTAAAGTAATTGTGTAGGTGATTATAAAAGAATATTTTTTCTTCCAAATTTCCTCTCCCTTTCAACTGATTTGAAAAGTACACAGATAATATATTTATACTGTTGGTAGGACATATATAAATATGTCATATTTGACAATGACATCTCCTCACAAAGGAGACATTGAAAACAAAGCTGTATCCAGACTTTCATTGGCGTTACAGTG